GCTCCTAAATCGCCTAAGGCTTTAGTGAATATGAGCATGCTAATGGTGCAAGGAATGGTGAATGCCCTAGGATCTTCTCTTTATTTGATCAGCTCCTTAGTCATAATTGCACTACAACTATGGGAAACTTCAATTGTCTCAAAATCCAAGCTCATTTTCTTTGTTACTAACTCTTTCATGAACTTGGCATATCCCGACATTTCCAACAATGCCCCCACAAAGGGGAGATTAATTGATAATGTCTTAAACACTGATAAGATCTTCTTGAACTTCTCATTCTCATTCTTCTTCTTTAGGCATTGGGGAAATGGGGGAGGTATTTTGGGCAAAGGTTGCATGACTTTTGGGATTGGAACGTGTTGTTCCACTTCTTTTTATGGTTCTTTGGAATTGCTTTGATGGATAAATATCTCTTCTTCCTCCATGCCTTTATCATCTCCATTCTTTTGAGGTTCTTCATTTCTCGTCACATCACCTATTGCTACTTTTCCGCTATGAGTAACCACAACCAGCTCTTTATTGTTATTTTCCATTCCGAACTTTGGTTCCAATTGTGCTGAAAGTAAACTCAAGTGACTTTCATGTATCTTGATGGCATCAGCATGAGAGTTCACTTTACTATTTAATGATGAAAAGTCATCTTTCATCCCTTTCAACAAATCATCTGAATCTTCAACTTTATCAAGTATGTGCGACAACAAGTCATTCACCCGGGGACTACTTGCACTCCTTTTTTATTTTGGGCTCTCACTCTAGTGAGTATGGTTCTCATCATAATCATATTCCCTTCTCTAATAATCACCTTGCTCAGCCCAATCTTGATAGTATCACATTTGCTCTTCTCCATTGTGATAGTTCCAACCTTGATTTCCACCTCGCTATAGATAGCGTGGGTAGAAACCCTCCTCATAACTCTTGGAGTTCCAACCTTGATTCTCCCCCAGCCTTGAGTAACTGGAAGAAGAACCCTCCTCAACTTTAAACACTTCACATGTCCCTTTCATATGCTCTTGTAGAAATTACATTTGGGCCAACATCTTCTTGATGTTTTCATCCACCACCCCCCCCCCCTCTGTCTCCCTCCTTATCAAGTTGCTCTTGCATTAATCAAAAACAAAATGAAGAAACTTGATCCTCTTGGGTGTACCATGCTTGGTATTTTAGTCATGTCATTAAGAAGGAACGAAGCCACCTCGAGTGATTGTAACATTATTCCTCCTCGTACCAACTGATCAGCCACTCCTTTATTAACTGAAATCAAGACTCCGATAAAAATATTGGAGTAACAAATCGTTTGGTAACCCATGAGTTGGTCATTTAAGTAAGAGTTTCTTAAACCTCACCCACGTTTCATGGATGGGTTCTCCCTCCCGTCGCTTGAAACCTTGAATATTGTCTATAAGTTTCATCATCCTTGATGGAGGAAAGAACCTTGTGTTGAATGCTATATTCAGCTCCTTCCATGATGTGATGGAATTGTTTGGTAACTCGGCTAACCACTTACTAGCTTTTCCCTTTAAGGATAGTGGAAATAACCGCAGCCGAATTGACTCTTGTGCCACATTTTTCAATGAAAACGGGTTGCATACCTCTGTAAAATTTCTAACATGTTCATGCAGGTCTTCGTGTTATAGCCTCCATATAGTCTTCTCAATTGGAGTAGATGAAGAGTTATGCTAGTGACTTCAAACATCGCATTCTCATCAGCTTGTGGGATGCAAATTGCACCCATCCCACCCGATTGAGCTGGGTTGTAAACACTATTGATATCGTCAATACTATCCCGATGACCTGTTTGACTATCATTCATCTCTTCCTCACTCATGTTCACTTCTATGTAGTCCAACCATCACTTACACAAAGGAGCCAAAGCTAATTCAACTACAGCCAACAAATTCGAGAGTGTCAAATCTTCAATCAAAGAACTCTAAGTAATTCTACTCCCCGGCAACGACGCCATTTCGATTTCACGTATCAGTACACTTTATCCAATACTAAGTGCCAACGATCGTTAGTCAGTACTATAACCCAACTAAGTGAGTTGTGGCCGAATCCCACAAGGAGTAGTTTTTTTTCTTTCAAATTCAATGATGAAAGTATGACAACAATCTCTTCAATTGAGCAAGTATTTCACTGTTTTGGTTTTAGTTTCAAATATCTTGTTTCTATTATCCCTCCAATTTCACACTTCAACACGAAACGATCAAATAGTAAAGTAAAACTTGGGGTAATGACCAACCAATTGCCGAATTCTAACTTAGTGGGTGAATATTGATGCTCACAATAGGATAATTTGTTGTGGGTAGGTCAGACCATATGTAAAGTAACTTTTTCTCGAACAATTACCTTTTCTATGTCGAATTCTCTCGAACTTCAACACTAACCAGAAGATGCCCAGCCCTTGGTCCTCATCAAATCCACTCTCTCGAGTTGGATACAAAGGATAGATCCCATATTTCACTCTCTCAAGCTGAAATCATGGTAACCCACCACTAAGGATGCTAAGATTGCTACTTTGGCTCTGCAACTCTCTCTCGAGGAAGTGCACAACACTGAACTTGTTACACTAAACATGCAACACGACTTCAAAACGCAGCAGCAACTCAGACCCACTTCAAATTAACACCATTATTTCCAATTCAACGACACCCACTTAGTAAAACTCAACAATTGGCTTCATAGTAAAAACCCCAAGAAAAGGGTTTTAGCCACTCATATCAAAAAATAAGAAAATTAACATCTGCCATGTTTTCTACAGTTGGGTAATTGAAATTCAAAAGTTTAGGAATTACAAAGATCTTCTCTATTACAAAATCTCAACCAAGAATAAAATCCCTTGAAAACCACAATGGTAATGTTTTTGCTCTCAATTTTCTATTTCTCCTTTTTTCTGAATGAACTTCTCTCTCTAGCCAAAATTAATTTAAACAAGTCTGATGTGTAACTGTTTAAGATCACTCAGCGAGGTAAGTCTGGCTTAGCCGACAGATTGGCGACTGGCCAATTGTTCTTCATCTCGCCTTCATTTTCCACTTCTTCTTGGTCCGGCTGTTGTAACTTTAGGCGATCCAGATCGGGATTGCCGAATCATTCAGCGAGTCACCCATTTGCCTTCTATCTCGCCCATCATCACTTGTTTGAATCTTCTTCAGCATTTTTGGCGATCTGGTCGTCCTTCGCAAAATGGATCGGCGACACGCCGAATGGAATTGCTGCTCGCCAAATTTACCCCTAGTTTAGCTTCAGCATTCTGTAACTTTAGGCGATATCATGGCAATTTGGCGATTCACCCAGTGACATTGGTGATCACCGAGTCTTTTTATTCATTCCTTTAGCTTGCTTTGTTCCTTTCTGAACATTAGTGTCCATGCTTCGTTCATAAATCCAAATACCTGAAAATCAGGGATTTTACATCAGTTATTGGCACAAAACATGCATTTGAGGATACTAAATCTATTAAAATAATGCCCTAAATGAGTCCAAATCGTGGACTCATCAGGATCGCTACTTGAAATTGAATATTGGTGTTCGTAGTCACCTTATTTAAATCCCTAATATAAATGAAATTGATTCTTTATTTTGTTGGTGTGCAAACTAGAAATTTAGGTAAGGAATTTTGTTGACCAATGGGAAGGTATCAGACACCCCTCGAGTCTCGTGGTTCTAGCACATCTTCTTTGTTGACTTTATGTAAGGCTTGAAATAAATTTTGGATATATTATGTTTATAAGCTTAAATAAAAATGCTTATGTCCCACATTCTTTGATTTATTTTAAACATATTTAGATCTGTCTTATTTTATTAGTGTGTGGCATATTGGTAGAAGTGCTTTCCAACCTTGCCATTAATTACCAATTCATTGATGTGTCGCACCTAATATTTGAGTAATGCCCTTCAAATCATATAGTCTATCTGTTATTATTATCAATATAATTATGTTCCTAATGTTTCAATTAAAAATATTTTTAAAATAGATCAACATACACAAATTAATTGAAAACTCTGATTAAGATTCATTACTAAAAGGAAATGCAAAGAAAGTTGCATATTATATTTTATTTTATTTTATTTTTTACTAAAAAAATGAACACAATATTATTAAGCATACAAATTGAAGAAGCAACTTAATTCATTATAACTAAATCTTATCCAAATATCAATTAATTACATATCGTAGAACATTAAGTTTCGTGATTTAATCAACAACAAGATAAAAATACCTTTAAGCATGCATGAAATAATCACATGTTATACAAATTTTGCTCTAAATTTAATGATATAAAAATTCTCAACCTATTTCATATTATAAGGCGAAAAATTAAGCACACATGAATTTGAGCAACTTCATAATCACTACAAAAAAAAGGAGTAATAGCGGCGGTTGTTAGGGGTGAATTGCGGCGGTT